GTTGCCCAGGTTGGTCTTGAACTCCTGGGCTCAGACAATCCTCTCACCTTTGCCTCCCAAAGTACTGGGATTACAGGCATGAGCCACTGCACCTGGCCATAAATTGCTTTAAACAGCGACTGCCAAACAGTTCCTGCTGAGCAAATGACAACTACCGTGACTGAAATTATCATTGTCAGGAGACCCTCACACATACTGCTGATGGGGATTGGAGGGAGTAGTCAGAGGTCCTTCTGTGGTCTTTGGCCTCATATCTCAACATACAAAGTGTATTGACCTGTCTTGCCTCTGCAATCCCCCATTCCTCAACTCCTGCAAGCAGGTAGGCTTAAATAGGATGTTTGTGCTTTTGAGGGAGCATGCTCCTGTACAACCCAACAGCGTATACAAGAAGAGATGGGAATGGTTTGCTGAACATGAAGGCATCCAGGTGAAAGGGGTTATGCTTGTACTGTAAGTCTAGACCTCTCACTCCAGGTCCACCTAGTGCAAACTCTGGGAAACGGATGTATTAATATTAGTCAGTGGTACTGTCAGAGGGATAGGCACATAGATCAGACATGCCTCAGGAAACCACATAATTGGCAACTGTGACAAAAGCTATGAAACAGATATCCTCAGTAGGTATCAACTGAGATCTCTCTTAATTGTATTTTGGGACCTCTGAGTATCTCCAGAAAACTTGTGTAACCTCTGCCTTTAGCCTTAAACATTTTGTAGAGAAGTCATCATGGCTGATTCTTTTGTATAGTTGTGAACTTTAAAAAAAATTTTAGCATTCTAATGATTCTAAATATGTAAGCAGATTCAGGAGTACAGGAAAAGGAAATCATTAGTCTCCCTCTCTGGCATCAGCTGTGATGATGGGACTTTAGTCTGGGCCCAACAGAGGTCTTACAGATTAGCCATACACTCACTTAACAAATGTCCCTGCACATCCCAGTTTGATGTGCGGTGCAGAGATTGAACACGTAAACAGAGCTCAAAATATAGGGCAATTGGCCGGGCATGGTGGCTCAAGCCTGTAATCCCAGTAACTTGAGAGGCCAAGGCAAATGGATTGCCTGAGCCCACGGGTTCGAGACCAGCCTGGGCAACATGGTAAGACCTCGTCTCTACAAGAAATTAGCCGAGCATGGTAGTGCACACCTATAGTTCCGGCTACTTGGAAGGCTGAGGCAGAAAGATCGCCTGAGCCCAGCAGGTCAAGGCTGTGGTGGCTGGGAGCATGCCACTGCCCTCTAGCCTGGGTGAGAGAGTGAGACTCCAACTCAAAAAAAAAAAGGGCAATTGCAGATAGTGGCTAGAGCTCTAAAGAAAATGAGACAGAAATGACAAAGTAATGAAGGTTACTTATCATCAGTGGCCAGGAAGACCTGTCCAAGGTGACTACAAGTGGAGAATGTCCCCTGGGCAGGAATGAGCCTGGTGCATTGAGAGCAATAAGGAGATCCTGTGGTCCATGTCAGGAGACAGAGCGTGGGGTCAGTATCCAGGTCAAGCTGGCTAGCAAACTGGGGTGTTTGGTTTATTTTAAGTCCAATGGGAAGCCATGAGATGGGCTTGCTGCACTGAGGAAGAACCAGGATGGGTATGGTGACAGCAGAGTGAGGCTGATTTTTGTGTGTAGGTACCATGCTGCCGGGAGCTTCCCAGGGCAGAGAAGGGCAATTCAGAGTTAAGAAGGTGGAGTGGACACATGACCAGCCTTTATGTTGGTAGACTCTGACCCACCAGAGCCTGGCATGGCTTTTACTGACTGGTTCATGGATGTGGTGGAAGACGGTAAGGTTTCAGGTGGTCTACCCTGGGTCATCCTCAGGAGAGGGGCACTGATATGTGGGGACCACTGCAAGGGAGGACCATGAGTTAGGCAGAACTCTCTCCCTTTGAGGGGATTTATACCCAACTCTAAGTGGCACCCACCAAAATAAAATTATTTATTAGCTCATGGAACCAAAAAGTCCACAACAGCTTCAGATGCAACTGGATCCAAGGCCCAGTCAGAGCAAAAGGACAGTCTCTTTTGATTTGGTTTCCAGGCAGGCCTTCCCCAACTCTCAAATCTGGTACACAAACTCCAGAGTCTAGGAAAGCTCCATTTTCCTCACAATTCCAGCAAGTACTCTGACTGACTCTCAGCATGCCTCAGGTCACACGGTCATCCCTGGCCCCACCATTTCAGGCTCAGGTTGAATACTCTGACAGCCATGGCTGAGGCATGCGCACAGTCAACACTTGCATAAGCAAGTGGTTGAATGAGGAATTAATGGGTATAATTCCTTGCTCACTATTATCAGTAAAGTCTTCTTCAGGCCTTTCTCCATTTCCCCCAGTAAAAGTGATCTAGGGGTGTTAAATGGTTAAATTCCAGAGCCCGGCTTTACAAACGAAAATCTCCCACACTAAGAAAAAGAGACTCCGCCAGGCTCGATGGCTCAGCCTGTAATCCCGCGCTTTGGGAGGCTGAGATGAGTGAATTGCCTGAGCCCGCGGGTTCGAGATCCGCCTGGGCAAATTGGTTAGATATCATTTGTACAATAAATCAAAAAAATTAGCCGGACATGGTAGCGCGTGCCTGTAGTTCTGGCTACTTGGAAGGCTGAGGCAGAAGGATCACTGGAGCCCAGCAAGACGAGGCTGCAGTGGCCGGGAGCGGCCACTGCACTCCAGTCTGGGTGACAGAGTAAGATTCCAACACAAAAAAAAAAGAAAGAAAAGAAAAAGAGACTCATTGTTATAGACTGAATGTTTTTGTCTTCCCAAAATTCACATGCTGAAGTCCTAACAACCAGGTGAAGTTTGGGTGAAAGAGATGAAATTAATGAACCTCACTCAAACTGGTGCCCTGGGCAGATCAAAGAGTCAGAGCCACCAGGCTTTGTTCCAGATGTTTCAGCCTATAACCCTCTAGCCCCTCCCTGACAGGCTGCTGTCTGCCATGCACCGAGTCCCAGCAGAGCACCAGGAGGCAGCTTAGGGGAGGTGCAGAAGATCCTCTAACAATGGCCACCCACAAGTTCAAATGATTGAACTCTGATGACCAATATCGACCTCACTTTCTTGGGAGGTCTGAGCCCCACATGGCTAAGCAGGACTTTAACTGTTCCTACACAAACCCCAAAGTTGGAGGAAGACAATTATTATACCCAGAGAGGAGGACCTGAATAGGCCCAGGGGTGGAGTATATCTTATGGTCTTAGAAAGGTCTGAGCCCCACATGGCTCAGCAGGACTTTAACTTTGTGCCACATAAACTCCAAAGTTGGAGGTAGACAATTATTATACCAAGAGAGGAGGGCCTGAACAGGATGGGAGCTGAGGCTGATTTTCACATGTAGGTGCCATGTTGCTGGAAGTTTCCCTGGGCAGAGGGCAATCAGAGTAAGAAGGTGAAGTGGACACATGATCAGCCTTTATGTTGGTAGACTCTTACTCAACAGCGCCTGGTGTTGGGGAGAAATTGGGTACCCTTAACTACAAATCTGCCTGGAGTTCCACCTTCGTGAGGTCATCGCCCTCCAGACAATTAGTGGGATAGACAAAAAGAATCACTCTAGGCAGGGGCAGCAGTACCTCAGTGAGGCACTGGCTGAACACTGTTGTCCAAAGGTCCTCAGCCTGGACCTCCTGCTCTCTCCCCAGATATGCCTCCCAGGAAACATTCTCATCTCAGAAAGCACAATTTTTGACCAGGGACACAGCTACATCCAACTTACAGGTTTTGCTGAGTTGACATTTAATTTACCTTTTGGGGAAGTTATTTCCAAAATTTTTAAAATTAAAAGGTATTGTAAACCACAAGATCTAGATCTATATATTGATTCCCCCACCTGTCTTCCTTGATCCCCAAAGGGAGAGCCCTGCTATTGTGGCAGCAGAAATGGGAAAACAACAAAGGCCATGGCACCCAGAGACACCAGGAGCACTGGCTGGATCACAAAAGGCACATCCCAGGACTACAGGATCTTCTTTCTCTCAGTCCCAGGGTGATGGCCATGAGGTGAACAGCTGAGGGAGGCTATGAGAATTCAGAAAACCTGCAGATTATTTGTTGACAGTGATTTTGCCAAAAATAATAGGACTGTAATTCCTGAGAAGTTCTGGAATCCCCACTCTGTGAAACCTCAGTTGTAGGAACATTTGTGGATATCTCTTTAGAAGTGGCTGAAACCCTCTAGTTTTCCAGACTACCCACTCCATACAACTTTACTCGGTATTTCTGTGCCCCTTACTTACTCAACTCAGTAGGCCCCCACAGGTCTTACAGTCAGTCTAGAACTTATCTTCACACTCCAGACTTTGGAGGACATGGCTTCTGAGCTGATTCTAGAAATAGCTTTTTCTGACCAATGCTGAGGGTTCTGAAACACTTCCTGGGAAAAATGGACTCAACCGTGCTATCCTTAGACACATAGATCTCACACCAGCTATCCCCTTCTTCAAGATGAGCTCTAGACCCACAAATAAGCCTGACATCCAGGCTAAAAAATTTTCCCTGGAGGACTCAGGCACCAATTAGCCATCCTTGACTAGAGTTGTTCTCTGCCATCCTCCTGTCCCTACTGAGGCAGGAAAATGTCAGGGACACCCATAAAAGCCATTCCCTCTATTCATGGCAACAATGCCCAATTCTATTCTTAATCCTTCTATACACAGGGATCAGAACCCCCAATATTAAAGGAGGTTTAAACACACTGGCTCAGCTCTTCTTGGCCAGAGCAGGGTCATGTCCACACCTAACCAGTCAGCAGGGAGAGAATGAGGTCTATTATGGGTTCAACCATTCATGATTCTCTCCTATATAGAGGAAGGAGCACAAGGTCTGCCATTCATGAACCTGTTAGGGTCAGGGAGGCACGCTGTGGGGATCTGCCAAGTTGTGGAGTTGGGATGGCGTCTATCACAGAAACTGGCAATGACATGACATTGCCAAAAGCCCCAGGCAGGACAGCACAAAATGTGGTTTCCAAAAGCTTCCCACACACCTACCAAGGTGGGTGATGGGATGTGCAAGGTTTAGCTTCTTTCAGATAGCACTCTCATAGAGACACCTCTCCTCAATCTCTATTCTGGAATTAGACCAGTCAAGATGATCAAGGTGCTAGCAGCTAACAGCTTTCCCAATTGCCCTGTCCTCCTGAGGCCTTTGTACAATATGGACTTTCTTGTGCTGGAGGAGGGTAGAACTATGTTTGAAGGCTTTTCCACATTCTGTACATTCGTAGGACCTCTCTTCAGTGTGGAATTGCTGGTGCCGATTGCGGTAGGACCTGGTAGTGAAGGTTTTCCCACACAGACTGCACTCATAGGGTCGTTCCCCAGTGTGGACTTTCCAGTGCTGATAGAGACCAGAGCGGGTCACATAGGCTTTCCCACATTGCTTGCACTCAAAAGGCCTTTCTCCAGTGTGAACTCTCCCGTGAAGAATAAAGCTATTATTATATTTAAAGAACTTCCCACATTCCGTGCACTCATAGGGTCTATCTCCAATGTGAACCTTCCGATGCCGAATGAGAGTAGACAGAACACTGAAGGCTTTCCCACATTTGCTGCATTCATAAGGCCTTTCTCCAGTGTGAATCCTCTGGTGCAGAACAAGTGCATCTTTGCGATTGAAAGTTTTTCCACATTCATTACACTCGAAAGGTTTTATGCCCGTGTGAACTTTCTGGTGCTTCCTCAGTTTAGACGGGTAACTGAAGGCCTTTCCACACTCATTACACACATGGGATGTTTCTCCGGTGTGAATTTTTCGGTGGTTAATATGAGCTGATTTCTCCTTGAAGGCACTTCTGCCCACTGGACATCTGAAGGATCTCTCTTCAGAGTGAGTTATCAGATGGTCAAGGAGAGCAAAGGCCTTCAGAAAGACCTTCCCGCAGTCACTGCACTTGAAGGGCTTCTGTGCCACATGAACTCTTAGCTGCTGCCCATGACTGGAACCTGGTGGGAAGGCTGCTCCATGCTCAGTGCTCCTGCCTGGTTTCCCCTCACTATGGGTATTCTGGTGCTGGAGGAATCCTAAAGTAGCTGGGACATACTTCTCAGACTCTCTCCACATAAAGGACTTCTCTGACAGCTGGGCTCTGCAGTTCTTCACTTGCTTGAGAGGAGCTTCCTCATCCTCCACTCTACACAGGCAACCTGAAAGCAGAGTAGAATCAGTTATTGAGAGATGGACTAGAGGGAGGGGGTACCTTCATTACCAATACGTGTCAGACACACCCATAAAGGACTCCATAGAATTACCAGGAGGTTGTTGGGAAAGGTCTAGATGAACAAGGGCTGGCCCAGCAGAATAGAGCTCCATCAAACCACAGACTAAGGAAGATCTCAGCTGAGATGGGGACACAGGATGGGGTGTAGTGCAAGGATAGCTGGATTCTCCAAGTCATTCCCCTGCAAAGTTTCAGCAGGGCCTTGGTTGTTGGTGACAGCTGAGCTCTGTGAAGAGGCATGTATCTAGTCCCAGCAAAATGCAACTGTACAACAGTAGCAGATGTTCAAGTATATTTAAGGATTAGTTGGTGTTCAAATACTATTTCAGTATATGTGCACATCTTGAGTCATACCCAGAGTAGCCAACAGTGGACAGCTCTGCACAAACACAGAGAAGGGGTCATGGCAACACACAGGTCAGAAGGCAGGATTATTCAAGGCCTGAAAGTCACAGAAGAGATGGCAGACTGCAGAGTGTCCAGAAAGATGAAAGGTGGGAATAAGATGTGGCAACTGGGCTGGGCGTGAGTTATCAGGTGGTTAAGGAGAGCAAAGGCCTGCATCCCAGCACTTTGGGAGGCCGAGATGAGAGGATTGCTTGAGTCCACGGGTTCGAGACCAGCCTGGGCATCTTGGAGAGACCTCATCTCTACAATAAATACATTTAACAAATTAGCCAGGCATGGTGGCTCATGTCTGTAGTTCCAGCTACTTGGAAGACTGAGGCGGAAGGATCACCTGAGCCCAGCAGGTCGAGGCTGCGGTGGCTGTTGAGTATGCTGCTGCCCTTCAGTCTGGGCAATGGAGACTCCAACTCAAAAAAAAAATGGCAACTGACCTCAACACCAAAACAGCAGTTCACACAGGTACTCAGCATGCCATGAGCTCACAGCTGAAACCAAGGCATCCCTCAACTCCACTCACCAAAACCAGGAACTCTCTTGACTTCTGCTCTGTTGACTGGAGTCATGTTCACCCAGCTGGGTACCCAAGATGCTTCATCTTCCTCCAGATCTCAAAGTTGCAAATCCTAGAGGTGATATGTACTCCAAGACTGACCTACCCTGCTACATACCTCAGGAAGTTCATGTCATCATGGCAACCAGAAAGGAAGCTTGAATATTATAAGATGAACTTTCTCTGTACATTTAAAAATTTGTTAAGAGGGTAGATCTTACATTATGTGCGTGTGCTTTCTTAACCACCAAAAATAAACAAACAACAAGAAAAACTTCCCAGGAAGCAAAACTGACATAAGTGAAGTGAGAAATAGACAATTCAGCAATAATAAAGATTACGATTTCCCACTTTCAATAATGGATAGTACCACTAAGATGCAAATGAACAAGAACATAGCAGACTTGAACAACAGTGAAAACCAACTAGACATCTATAGGACATGCCACCTAACAACAGCAGGACATATATTTTTTTCACATTCTCATATGCACAAGGAACATTCTCCAGAATATACTATCTGTTAAGACATAAAATAAGCCTCAACAGATTTCAAAGGACTGAAATCATACAAAGTATGCTCTTTGTCCACAAATAAATTGAAACAGAAATCAACAGAAAGAAGTTTGGGAAACTCACAAATTTATGGAATTTAAACAAAAATTCCCAAATAACCAGAGTCAAAGAAAAAAAAAATCACACAAAAATTACAAAGTATTAATACTTTGAGATGAATGAAAATGAAAACACAACATGCCAAAAGTTATGGGATGTAGAAAATGCAATGCTGAGTGGGAAAATTATAGCTATAAATACTCATATTTTATGAGAGCTTAAACCAATAACCTAACTTTATACCTCAAGAGACAAGAAGAAGAAAAGCAACTAAACCCAAAGCCAGCAGAAGAAAGGAAACAATACAGATTAGTACAGAAATAAATAAAATAGAGATTAAAAAATAAAGAGAATCAACAAGACCAAAATTTGGTTCTTTGAAATAAACCAACAAAATTGACAAATTTTTGACCTAGATTGACAAGAAAAAAGAGAGAAGACTCAACTTGGCTACAAACAGGAATGGAAAAGGGAACATCATTAGCAACTTTACAAAAATAAAAAGCATTATGGCCGGGCTCAGTGGCTCAGCCTGTAATCCCAGCACTTCGGGAGGCTGAGGCGAGAGGACTCCGAGCCTGAGCCCATGGGTTCTTGGCGAGCCCGGGCAACTTGGCGAGACCTCGTCTCTACAATAAATCAAAAAATGGCCAGGCGTGGTAGGGCACGCCTGTAGTTCCGGCTAGGTGGAAGGCTGAGGCGGAAGGATCTCCAG